TTTGAGCCAACATCCATCTGACATCAGCAATGATATCCCTTTTTCGACAGCCTCTTCTGAATCCAGCCAGAACCTCTGAAAACTCCTTGCTAATGGGCTACTTCAACTTTGTTGCATGATCTTCAGCAACACTTGACTTGCATGCAATATCAATGATACAGTTCGATACTTTGAGCATTCTGTTGGGTCACCTTTCTTTGGAATGGACACAAATATGGATCTCTTTCTGTCAGATGGCCAATTTCCTGGCAGAATCAGTGCCTCCAGTACTGTTGAAACATTACAGTTGGTATTCCTTTATTTGCTGTACCCTTATTTTTGGCTAATACTTTCAGTGCACCTTGACATTGTTTCTTCACCAACATTAGTTCTCGCTAATATGTTGCCTCCTGGCATGGTGGAATGTCGACTAGTTCTTTTGGTAGAGTAAATCTTTGGATTATTTTCATCTTCTTTGACAGCTTCTGGCATCGTTCACTATTTTGCTCAAGGAATCTTTCAATATTACAATTCCAGGTTTATAGGCAAGTGGTGGAATTGTACACAAGTTTAGGTAAATCTGTCAATCCAAAGTAGTTAAGACATCATAAAGCTTGCATTTATCATTTTGTGAAAGTTTCTAAAATTATTGATTAAACCAGTCTTTAATTTCAGTTGAAACAAACCTCCAGCTAGCCAGTTGTCATCCATCGCTTATGTATTCTCTCCGAGGGGCGGGCATGCAGGTGTGCAAGGCCACCTCAGACCCTCAGAGCACAATTACCTCTGCATACCTAGGTGAGGGATTTCGGTATCTCTGTAGGCGAATTTGTTTTAAAATATTTTAACTAAAGTCTTTAGCAATCTCCAGGATAGTATTGAGGTGCTTCAACATTATTTTTACTTGCTTTCTTATATGGCTATAATATTCCACATCAGCAGGAAGGAGTTCACCACCACCACCTATTTTTTTTTTTTAATACGAAAGGGAAATGGGGAAGCTCTAAAAGGTATCTGAACAGAGGGATAGGTTCAGAGCCTAAGGCAGGAACTTTGAACAAAGGGGCAAGTTCAGAGCCTAAGGCAGGAAATTTGTCAAATAGAAAAATATCACTGAAAAGAAGCAAGTAGAGAATGTCTAAGTTTGAACGTAGAGCTGTTAGATGTATTTTGATACAGCCATGTATAGTTCACCAAGAAAGCAATGGATAGGCTGTATTATGCTTATGTTACATATTTATTACATTTATATTGTGTTCCTTTATTATGTTTATATATGTATACTTAATACATATCATACGGATATTTATCTTTCAGGGTTGATCAAACTATAGTGGCATGAGGGGTATTCAGCCATTTATTTGCTAAAATAATCTGAATTTATCCAATGTTATTTTCCTAGGCAGAGTTGCTGTCCGGGTTGAGACATTATACATTGTGATTTGTACCAATGTGTCCCCCTTGAATTATACAGTGAGGACAAACCACTTATTTTATCTTCTGCTAATATGAACGATTCACTCCATTGCTGAGACTGCGACAGTAATATTGAGTTTCTAACTTTTATTATTAATTTCCAACACAGAGTGTGTCAGTCACAGTCATGTTAAGAGCGATAAATCTCAATTAAGCCTTACACTTTCTATGTAGCAACGATTTCGTTTTTATTTAAATAAATCATTTTATTGGGGACTCTTACAGTTATTTTAGCAATCCATACATCAATTGTATTAAGCACATTTGTACATATGCTGCCATCATCATTTCCAAAATGTTTTCTTTCTACTAGAGCCCTTGGTATCAGGTCCTCTTTTTATCCCTTCCTCGCCCATCCACCCCATCCTCCTGCCACCATGAACCCTTGATAATTTATAAATTATTTTTATTTTCATATTTTACATCATCCGCGGTTTCCCTTCACCCACGTTTCTGTTGTTCGTGCCCTGAGGACGGAGGAGGGGCGGGGATGTACGTCAATCATTGTGATCAGTTCCCCCTTTCTTCCTCCTTGTATCTCCACCTTTCCCCTACCCCTATCACGACTCTCATTATTGATCCTTAGGGGTTTATCTGTCTTGGATTCTGTGTGTCAAGAGCTCTTATCTGCAGCAGTGTACACACTCTGGTCTAGCCAGATTTGTAAGGTAGAACTGGGGTCATGATAGTAGTGGGGAGGAAGCATTAAAGAGCTAGAGGAATGTTGTGTGTTTTGTTGGTATTATATTGTACATTGGCCAGTTCATCCCTTCCTTGGGATCCTTCTGCGAGAGGCAATGATTTTTATAGCAAATGTGTTTATTTAAAAGTCAATGGCATTCCTGGAATTGTTATGACAGAATTTTAACACATTGCTCCTAATTTATTGGCTTCTTTGTTTACATTCTTTCATAATTTTTTTCATAGAGTAAGTATATTTGAATTCAATTTTTGAAAACATAATGTGACTTATGATTTGGGGATTGTTACAGCTTACCTAACCACTTTTAAAATTAAACCTTATTTAGTTGACTTATTTAGCTGGTTTAAACCTAATCTATTATACTTTAAAGAATATTTCCTTGTTATTTGGGCATTCTGAAGAATATAAAATCATATTTTATTCTGATTGCCTTATGCAACCATTATAAGTATTCTTATCCTAAAATAATCTTGTTGCCAAAAGCACCCACTTTGTCCATTTGTATTTTACTCCTGGACGTTGACAGTGAAGACTGGTAGCATGATGCCCTAGAAAGAACACAGACATTGCCCTTATGTCAAAGGGGAGTCTGCAGGGTGAAAGAAAACGGGAGAATTTTTTAAAAACAAGATGATGTTTTTTTAAAAGTTGAGATGTCTTACCTAGACCCAAAAATATTTTGGAAATATTAATTCTAAGAAATAATTTGGAAAAGGATTATGCGTAAAAGCAGTAGCAACTTAGGATCAAAGATTCAGCAAAATAAAACCACTGAAATGGCGGAAGTATTTCTGGGAATGCTCGACTGGGTAAAAGTAGATGATTTAAGGGTGAAATGAAGCAACACCAGCCTCCAGCAGTCTCTGACCCTATTTGTGCCATGTCTAACTAATTCATAAAATTTCAAAGGTTATGACATTTCCGAGATCTGGGGGTGTAATGGGTTATGCACTGAGTTGCAAACTATGGGGTTGGTGCTTTGACACTCCCAGCTGCTTCATGGGAGAAGCATTTGAAGTCTTGGAACCTGACAGGGGCAGTTCTACTCTGCCCTCTGGGGTCTCTGTGAGTCACAGTCAACTCAATGGCAGTGAGTTTCTTTGGGATAACTTTTCAGAACCACATCAACACGCCTGTTTGCTGAATTGACACAGGTGGTATTGAAACTCCAGTCTCTCAGCTAAAAGTTTAGCACATAACCATTTATGCCACCAGCTGACTTCCTGTTATAGATAAACAAATTTAATATCTGTACTTACTTGCTATAAAAATGGAAAGAGACCTAACCATAGTGTTTAATTATTGCTTGATTGCATTTCAATTTCTACATTTCCTTTAGAGAAATATGTTACTTTTTGCGAATAGTGTCTATTTATATGTTGGAGTTTAACACAATGCCTACATATAAAATGTGCTAATTAAATGTTTGTAAAATTGAAATGAATTAAATAAAAACATTTCTTATATCCTGTACTGATCCTGTCTTAAATAATAATCTGTAATGCCTAGACCTTATGTACTTTCACTTAAGTAATTTTCAATCTAATTGAAAATAAAGGGTGTTAAAATACAATTTTCCTCAAAAAAATAAATTTTCAAATCTTCCCTCATTAACATTTATTCTTATCTTTTACACACACATGGGTATTTTAAAAACATTTCACATGACGTCTGGAAAATGATAAAATAATTGAATAAATTTAAAATACAAAATCAACATGCCCTGTATAAAAACCATTCTCCTCAGGTGCAGTGGGAGGTCTCCACAACCAACCGTGGGGATCACCGTCCAATGCATAACCTTTTCACCACTTTTCTGTGGTGAAGACGCACCGTCTTGGAAACCTACAAGGGCAGTTCTAACCTGTCCTGTATGGTCTCTATGAGTTAGAACAATTTGATGGCAGTGAAATATAAAAAGCTGTAGAGTATATGCTCAAATAGATTTTCATATGTAGTATTTTTTAACAGTCACCCTGACTACATCACATATATAGAATTTCAAACATGAACTCAGTGCCCTGGGATTTCCTGTAGCCAGTTTATATGATTGAGATTCTGTGTTGAAGATCCAATTTGCATTCATACTGTTGACCTACCCATGGCACTTAGCTTAAAGTCAACCACTAAACCGTAGCCATCCCAGCACAAGTCATTCTCTAGTATCTACTCTTGCACTGTGGAGGAAATTATAAGCACTGTTTTTAAATCAGCAGTCACATTTCAAAAGCTATAGCTTATACTATCAATTCCAGTGAGTTTAGTTATAGGTTCTCTATATGTTTTACCTCCCTCTTGACTCCATGAATGTTTTACCTGCCCTGGAAACCATTTTGTTCAGGAGACTAAAGAAGATGAATTTAATGAGATGTTATACACTAAAAGTCCTACTTATCTCTAAACATATTAGATAATTATTTTTAGATAATACTTGCCATTGGTAAATAGACTGTTTCCTGGAATTAATGACATGGCTCAAGTTTTGCTTTATAAGAAGAGAAAAGCCAGATTGTATTTTAATGTGACTAATATACTAAGCCCTTAAACTTTGAAGCACTGCAATCGAGTACGAAAAAGGAAAAAACACGTCATAGTAACCCAAGAATCAATAATAGTAAAGTTAGTATTGCTGACAGTACCAAGCCTCTAATCTGTACGATCTTACAAGTCTGTTGATTAAACTTAAAAAAAGGAAAATAGAGGGAAAAAAACCTCAGAGATGTGCAATTTCCATGCGTATTTGGTGTTAATGGAGCGGTAACTTTCTAAAGCTTTAGCAGGTCATAATTAATCAACTTCCAATCAATAGGAAACATCTCAGCTATAGAACCATTACACTTACCCATGATAGTGAGGGCTGTGGCCTTTGTTAATTCTTCTTTCATTGACTCGATTACTTCCAAATTGCCACCATCCAGGCTGCACCTATTTATGGTTCCATTTCCTGAGCTGATCCAATAAAGCTTGTTTTCCGTATAGTCTATCGATAGACCTGTAATTAAATTATACAATTTAAACATAAAGGTAGCCACTTCAGGTACACTCTTATCTAACCAAGTAGATTTGAGGAGAAAAAAATATAGGTTGAAAACTGACATTTTTGTCTTAAACAGTAAGATCAGGTTTATTTAAAAATCTACATATACTGATATTCCTAAGAAAGATAACACATTTTGCCACACTTAATACTTTCTATTATCATAACTGTCTTGAGACAATGTGAGAGATGACTGTTTTATTTTACAGGAAACTCAATATAAAGTCATAACTATTTGGTGGAAATTCTAGGAGTTGTAATCATATTTCCGTATTTCCAAACTGAATTATTAGTCCTCTTTATTGTATCACGTGTTTCTGCAAATTTTAATGTAATGACCTATGTGAGTTTTTAACTTCAGTGCTAAGATTTACCATTGTTCCTGTTACATATTTTAAGACTCTTTTTATTCCTTTTGAGAATACACAGCAGAACACACACCAATGACCTCTACATGTGCGGCTCAATGACATCGGTCACAGTCTCAAAGTTAGGAAACATCCCACCTTCATCTTTCAGGTTCTTTTTCCCTCGTGAGCCACTCCTGTCTAATCTTTGGAGTTGCTACTGTCAATTTGATTCCATAAATAGAATTTAAAATAACATAATGTTCATACAGAATTAATTTTTTTAACTCTTAAGGTTAAATTATTGTTGGGCTGTAAATTAACTTCAGGGGATATTTTGATTTGAGATTTAAAGGGCATCTCATTGCAATAATTTTTTTAAATTTCTGTTGTGCATTTTTAATTCTCTTTGAGACTCTTCGATAGAATCCTTTAACAAAACATCCACTAAGGCTCTCAGGCACTATCCAGTTCAGGAGAAAAAAAATCATGGGAAAAAAAGCCTTTGTTCATGGAAGCACTTAGCCATCCATTCGATTTCTGCCTCCAATTTTTAAGTCTCCTTCTTTTTCTTGTGCTCCAAGTGAATAGAAACCAATTGTACCTTGCACGCTATTATGGGTTCTTGCACACTGTTAAAGGGCTCTATGAAATGAACTAGGGCAGGGACAGGGCACTGAACATGCTATGAGGCCAGGTACCCCTGACCTTAAGTTTCCAAATCAAGGAATCAAGTTCCATGAGGTTTTACATAACCAGCCTTACATAATCAGCAGCTACTTTGTCTTTTATTATTTCTTTTTCTACCTTTTCCTCCCCATCTTCCCTTTCTCTCTCTACCTTTTTTTATCTTTCCCTCCTCCTCTTGCCTCTCTTTCCCTCTTCCTTCCTCCCTCTCTTACTCCCACCCTCCTATCTTTTTCCCTTCTTTCTTTCTTCTTCTCTCTCTTTCTCCGACTTTCTTGCTTTCTCTTAGTCATTGTTGGAACTATGTCTCTCCAAGAGCTTTTGCTAATTCAGCTTTTTGGAGAAATACTATCTATTGGTGGCACTTTCATCAGTTGGCTGCTCAACCCAGCCCTTAATCAATGTAATTTTTTCATTAGCATAAATAAAAACTTAGCAAAAGCGCTGTCTACGCTTAACTCTAGGAACCACTACTAAGCTTTGTATCTATAGTGTTGTTAGGTGCTCTCATGTTTGTTTTAATTCATAGCAATACTTTGTGCAATGGAACAAAACACTCCCTGGAAAGAATCCGAGGGACTGCCTCAGTTTCTATGACCCTGAGAGTTAGATGGTGCCTGGCTACCATTACGAACTGCTCTGAATATAACTACATTAGAAGGTAGATAGAGTAGGATAAAAATGTATCAAAATAATAACAAGACAAGGGGTATTGGTGTGATAGAAACTATTGGAGCACCCAAGTCTATAGTCACACTTCAGTCTTGAAAATGAACTCACCTTCATGGCTCACATTTTATACAATAGAAAAGTCTATAAGGTAACAAACTAGAGAGGGCTATGCTCTTTAAAACAATCAACTACTTAAGATTAAAAATGGAAGCATTTTCCCAAACACAATGTTCAGAGGCAGGCATTATTAGACACAAAGAAAGAATGAAAACAGAAAACACAAAAAATGATGTTAAATTGTGGGCATTGCATTCAATGACTTAAAACAAAATGTGTATAATTTGTTCAATGTGAAACTGATTTGATCTGTAAATATTCACCCATTGAACAATAAAAACGATTTTTAAAACTGCTTGTTCCAATCTTTAAGATGGGGGGGGAGTGGTAAAAAAAAAAAGGAAAAAAAATCTTTAAGATGTTTGATCCCATTGTAGCATCTACTGGGTCAGTCCCTCTCAACGAGAGTCATTCTTTGTCTTGCCTTCCACTGTACCAAGCAAGATGTTCCTCTCCAGGGACTAGTCTTGTTTGATAACATGCCCAAAGAACACGAGATGAAGTCTTGCCATGGTCACTTCAAAAGAGCATTCTGAATTGTATATTCTTCTGGAAGTCCATGGTATATTTAATATTTTTCCAATGTCATAATTCAAAGGCTGAAACTCATATGTGGCAATTGAAAAATATCATGGCCTATGGGCCAGACAGACATATAATGCAATGTATTCTTTGATTGCCTTGCTGCTGTCTACAGCGGTGCTGGCTGTTAATTAAAATAGAATCAAATCTTTGACATTTTCAAATTTTCCTCCACTTATCATGGTGTTGATTATTGGTCTGGTTTTGAGGATTTGTAAAGACTCAGGTCATCTTTGACTACAGATAATTATGCTTCCTGTTTTCAAATCTGTACACCCTTTCTGTCTTTTTCTTGTCTAACGAGGACTTCTCATATGATATTGAAATTATGTCCTGAGATTAGGAACTCCTATCTTATTCTCTATTTCAATGAAAACACTTTCAATTTTTCCCCATTACATGTAAATGTTGACCATTTGCTTTTTGCATTTGCCCTAAATAACATTGCGACTCTCCCCTTTAATCTGAATCTTGTTAATGGTTTTCATTAAAAAAAAAAGATGATAGAGTTTAATAACTTCTTTATCTGCATCCATAGAGATGATTGTGTGGTTCTTCTGCTTAAGTCTATTGATGGGGTGTATTTTTCTGATATTGGTTTTCTAGTGTTGAACTGGACTTCGATGGCAGCTAACAACCATGATGAACCATCCCTGCATTTTGGAATAAATCCCAGTTGTTCAGAGCGGTTGATATTTTAATAGGCTGTTGGTTTACCTGTTGCTCTGAGAAGGATCATATTCACCAGTCCTGAAACTGAACTCACCTCCTTGGGAGAATAATTAGTCACTGAAGATTTAAAATGGCATCAGTTACTCAAGGACAAAGTTCAGAGAGTTAGGAAAGAAGGAGGGATGAAAACAGAACACAGGGAGAAAGTCAGACGAGTGGTGATATATTGAACAAACTACAGTGAATTAGCTGAAAGAAAATATGCAAGACTTGATGATATTTAAATGTCTGTTTAAATATCTTCTTAAACTATCTAGTTCTCAAAAATGGTATTTTCTCCCCAGGTAGGTATTTAAAGAGGATTTTCATCTTGCTGTATATACCCTAAGGCCATGGCCCATTTTGGTTAACATTATGTCCACTATGCTTAGAGTAGGCAACTAAAAGCTCTAGAATTGAAAATAGAACATCAGGTAACTCCAAAAGACTTCTTTGAAGCAAGTACATTATCTTTATAGATGTGATTTTAACAACAACAAGGACTGTTCTTTTGGGACACAAAGCTTACAAAGATTTAAAATTTAAATTGCCTTTAAATTGTTCCTCTCTTCTTTTTTACTGACATAAATCATTGCTTATTCTTTTTCAGAAACACACACACACACACACACTCAGACAAAGTAAAATAAGAAAAATGGTCAATCATAGTTCAAGTAATTTTCAGTAGAGATAGTCCCATTCTAGAGAGTGAAATTGATTCATTAAGTAAACTTTGAAGAAGTAAAGGTAATCTAACACATCTGTACATTGCAACAATTGTTTCATGACATATGGGTATATTTTATTATTAGAAATTGGAAGGCTGACTGGGAAATCACCCTAGACACAATTAGACATTGTGAACAGGTAGATTCCATTTTTTAATGATTAGAAAGAGTGATTAGTTTTAAGTTTTATAGAATATAATAAAATATTATTCTATTAATATATTCACCATCTGTTTATTAATTTAAGATAATTCTGGACATATTTACAGTTGCTTCCTATAGTACTTCCATGCATATTTTCTACTATAAATCATGGCTCCCACGATTTAATTTTGAGAAGTACTTATTTTACCCTCTCTTTCGTTGACTAGAGCACATGATTGCATCCTTAGCCAGCCATGAGTATTTTACTATTAACAAATATAGATATATGACAACTTTCTGTTGCCTAATTTTCAGCAACAATTGAATTTATTTTTTAAAGTATTCACTATTTATAGTGGATTTCCTTTAAATTTTGTAATATATATATCCTGCTACATATTCTAAATTTTATCTTACTTCAAAGCCAAACCACTGGAGAGCCATTTGTATCCTGAAATTCCTGGGCTTTTGTCTCTCTTGCCTGTCTAGTGCAAGTCAATGGAATGCTACCGCAGCTCTCTCCTAGAGATGCTTTAAGAATCAGCAATAGAAACCCACTATTGCATTTACTAGGGACATAGGTCTGAGTGCAATATGTTATATAGAGCTCTCTTTATATAAGAACCCACGGGAGAAATTTCTTTCAGAGCTCAGTGCCAGAGAAAGCTATATGTGTAAAATTATATCTAATCATATTTTTATCTTTGCTTTGGCTGCACAGAATCATAAGAGTCAGTTATTTAATCCATCCCCAGAAGTGCCTAAAATATTCATTTCTACTATATTTGTGCCAAGTTTCAGGTTATTAATCTATTCTTTCATATTGATTTTTAATATCAATGTATGAGTATTTCTTTTCTTAAGGAACCCAAGACCCTCTTTGGACTGAGTAGGTGAATACATAGTTTATGTGTCTAACTCCAAATTAACCTCCTCTATCTGCCACTTCACACAATGTACTTTCTGG